GGCAGATTGTTGAACAATTTATCGCTACCCAAACGAAAGGGCAAGTTAGTTTGTTTAGTTTTCAACTTTTCATGTTGATCTTGAATACACAAGTTGATTTTGAATACATCATGCATGGACATGTGGTGAGATCAACACGAATTTGGTAATCGTGCATTTGGCTCATTTATGAGTCCGGATCTTCTGCCCACGTCTACCCACAACACATTACCCCCGTGAATTGAGAACATCTCCCCCTAGATAATACCATGCAGAGGATGAGGTGTTCTCCATGTATAACTGCAATAAACGTGGCAGAGTTTGTACATGTGGGCAGGAGATCCGGATTCCTCATTTATGCAGTGTGGTTGATTATTCATATGACCTTACAATGATTTTTTAACCGACGTACCCAAAATACACTCAACTAAATTGCAAAATCTCCTTTTTACATATGTTTTCGCTGTTTTTACCTTCTTGTAAATTAATGAAGATGAGCAAGAAGCTCCCTTGACAGAACGCTCTAAATAATATATTTGATGGGATTGATCCACGCTCTTTGCCCTCTGCATCTAAAGGGATTGTGCACGACAATGTATTGAATACGAACGGATATGATGTGTTAATGTATTGCAAATGACATTTAAATTTTCATCATCTTTTATTTTTAATTTGTATATAATAGAATATAACGTAGCAAATAATGGATGGGAAACTGAAGATTGGTTTTTATTAACAGTCATAGTGGGCCTTAATTTTTTGGTTCTCTTTGTATTGTAATTTTGATTTATATTTTAGCTTATGTAGAGGTTTCTTAATTAGGTAATCGTGTCTGTGAAGGAACGTTTTTATGGTGGAGTTAAATGGCGTGTGTAACTTTTAATCTCATGAGCAATACACTGCTACAACTTTTAATGATCTCAAAGCTTCTTTATCAAAATACAAATTTATCCCTAAGGCTAAGAGAGCTTAAGATCAAAGTGTTAATTATATTCAATGAAAATTTCAAAAAATAAGACCTCATTCATACTCTTATAAGTAGTATATATAGATTGGATGTGAATTTATCTGTTTTTATTTTGTGAAAATAATATCTTAAATAGTAGGAGTCAACAAAAGAATGGGTGTTAATATCCTAAGATAAGATTTAATAGCAGGGAATTAAATGACAAAAAATAAAATGTAGTAGTTCAATTTATATTTTGTGCCCTCACAATTAGAGATGAACCAAATTCAAAACTAGGGACATTCTAGACGAGAAAAACATCCAATGAATGTTAATAGGAGTTAATAAGACTTAATGAGAGGGACTTGAATGAAGAGAAAAGTGGTTTGTCAAATTACATTTCCATCCTTAAAATTAGACAAGGATCAAATTCAAAATTTGGGGTAATTTAGTCAAACAAAAGTTCAACACCATTATTCACACTTTTAATAATAGTATAAATAAGCATTAAATGAAAAGTGTAAAATGACATTTTTTCTATAGTTTGTTTTCCATTATTGAACAAAAAAAAAATATTTTTGTATCTTTTTATCAAATAATCATTACTAAATAAATATGTAAAATAACAAATTTTCCTTGTTTTCCAATTTGAACTTTAGAAAGGGGACATTTGTTGTCCATTGATAATTTGATAAACCAGGGACACCTATTTGCACCTTTATAGATAGTATAGATAGATAACATTAAAGTGCCAACTTCTACCTTGCATTAAAATGTCCTTTAACAGAGAAGTCCAATGTATCTTGCATGTTTGTAATTAAAAAACGGGGCCCTTGACTAGTCCAATTGTCAAACCAAAACAAAACATTACCTTTTCCCATTATCCATTGACTATGAGATAAAATAATTTCTTTAAAACTCTATAAATTCTTTCAGCAAGGAGCAGACTTGCACAAGAACATTAGGGATCATTCATGTAGATTGTATTTGGTATCATTGTCATTTCTTCTTGAAATGGTGGGGGTTAATCAATTTAAATTGATAAAAAAATATGTTTTCACTAGACCTGTTCTACGGTTGAGTTTTCACTCTTTATTAACAAATTTTTTTCAAGCCTGAGCCCTAGCTCAGTCCGACCATTATCCAAGCCCAACTCATAAAAGCACAAAGCTCGAGCCCAAGATGAAATCTCAGTAAGGAGGTGAAGGATGGTGGTTGGTTGGGATGAGCAGTGAGCACCAATATAAGTTGAAACTAGAATGTTGTTGAGGCACCATTGAGGTGTCATGGTTGTGGGGCCACTGAGGTGTTGTGATGGTGAGTGTGGTGCCAATGAGATTGCCTAAACAGAGAGAAGGGGTGGAGAAAAGGGGCATCATCGTCACTGCCACATGGGGAGAAGGGGTGCAGTGGTGCTAATAACATTGCTTGGTTGGGATTGGGGAGGTGGTGCTCTGTTGTGGTGGTGAGCGTGCTGCTACCGCCATTGCTGTTGAACAAAGAGAAGGGGCACTGCTGCTAATACCCTTGCCTTGACCGCCACCAGTGGGTGAGAAGAGAACTTGGAAGTAAGAAATTCTAGGTCGAACAAAGAGGGAAAAGGGAAATGTCGTTTAGGGTTTTGAGATAATAATAATTATAAAAAATTTTAAATATATGAACAATTTTATATATAATATTCTCTCAAAAATATTATATATAAATATTTATATATTTTTATTATATAAAATAAATTTGACTCAGGTTTTTTTGACAAATCCTGACCCAAAAAACAAAGAAACTTGGTGTTTTGGGACCGAGTTCGAAACCGCAGGCATGCCCAAGCCCAACTAACTAATCCATCCCATGAACAGGTCTAACTTTTACATCACATAAAAAATGAAACCTCAAATTTGATGTTGTACCACTAAACAATCACACATCTATTAAAAAATGCATGTCCCATCAATTTTTATTGTTTCAACCCCAAATGTGTTAGGAAGAATGACACTACTACCGAATACAACCGTTGTGGACCCATATAGTGGGGACGAGGCATTTTTGGTAAATATGGTTGGAACAAAGCTCGGATAAAGATAATGATGAGTTGATCACAATGAGGATGCCTTTAGTCATATTTTTTTTGAAAAAGGGCTATAAACATTCAAATTGACTGATACCCACATTCTATGCATCCACGCCCGCTTATGAATTGACATCAATTCCGAATTGGCACCTATCCTGACCGTACATTAAACCTACAAATTCTGACACTGGGGTATCGGTCATTCTCCCTATTTTTTTCATAATTTTTATTTTGAATAAAAGAATAAAAGTTTTAAAAGGGTTTTTAAGGGAGGGATTGGGCCCAAATGTGCCTATTAAAAGCTAAGGGATGATACAAGCTTGCCATTTGCCAAATATTTATTTGTCGAATTTTTACCGTGAAAATACAAGGCTGAGCCATAGTCAACACTCAACAGTTTTCCGTATACCACCACCAATAATAAATAGATATTAATAATAATAATAATTATGAAATTGTAAAAACTCAATGCTCATGCGTTGAGAGGGTTAGCAACCGGTCCAATCAAGCTGACATATGGCGTGCTTGGTGAGTTGGCATTGCAGGCTTGCAACCAGTTCTCTTTCAAGCCCGATGGAGAATTACTGAACTACTGAACTACTGAACTAGGGGTCCTCATAGGCCGGGCCGGGCCGGGCGCCTACAACTCTTCTTTTTGAGGCCTTTCCTCAGAAAAATGTTTAGCGTTCAGAGGCCGTTTTTTCAAGGGGAGATGCTCCCAATGCGACTGGATTCTTATGCTTTCAGAGTATGTATGAAGTTTTTACTTGCAAGGACTCTGTCGCTTTTTAATGGTGAGAAGTAGGGGTCATCATGGTTGATGGGCCCATTACTTATTAGGTCTACCTAGCTTTGGTTTTGGCCGGGCCTACAACCGGGCCGGGCCAATAGTTAGTGAATATATACACTAATTGAGAATTATATGCCCATTTATGAATTTTGACTATAACCATATAAGACAGATATTGATTCAATGATGCATGAAAAAAGTACCATAATTTTGCTTTATCAAAAGTATTTTTTTTTTCTTTTGGGTCAAATATTGGCCATAAAGAACCCTCCTTTTGATTGATAAACATTTCTTTTGAAAAATCCATTCTTGCATTGAATGGGTTTTCAATTAGAAGCATGGAATTGAAAATCAACTAGCTGTACAAAATAAAGAGAAAGTTATAAGCGTTTTCAGACAACAAAAAAGCCTTCTTGGCCCCATGTAATGATTTCTTTCTTTCTTCTTTCAAAAGGATTCACCATTCATGGCAGCTCAAGACGATTTCAATCCAGGGAGTGTTTGGGATGGGCGTTTTTTTAATATCACCAACTTGAACCAAGCTGAAGCCAACTCAACCCATTTTTTTAGTTCAAGTAATCATTTCTTTCTTTCTTTCTTCTAAAAAGATTCATCATTCATGCAGCTCAACGATTTCAACCCAGGGAGGATTTGGGATGGGCATTTACAGATCAACTTGAAGCCAACTCAATCTATTTCTTTGGTTCTTTTTCCTCCTAAAAAAGACCGGATGAGGATGCCTGGGTTTCAAAGTTTGTTAGGAACTGATCCAATTTTAGATTGGGCTCAGTCTATACCTCAGGGGAGGTCCTCAAACCTATTGCCTTTTTTGGTGTACAAGGTTTGGTGAACATGACCTATTACAAGTTTTACAGGCTGGTAATAGTCAGGTGGCTAATCAAACAAAGAAGCTGACAATCACAATATATGATATCTATTTGATGTAGGATGGGAAGGAGAAAGTGTGGACTCAATATATGAATTTGGATGTCTCTTACATACTCCAATTCAAACTAGGAAACCAACTTGAAACAACTTCTAATCGCTTTAGAGCAAGAGAAACACAGACAGACTTAAATAAAGGTTCTAACTCCTAACAGAAGTCTGAATACCCATTAGTAATCCTACAAAAAATAACTTGCTATAAAGACACTAGAAATTACTGAATATTAAATCATGATTTTACTATAAATAGTAAATTTGAGAATTACCATAAACAATGTCTAAAATGACTAGAAATAGCATTTTTGGTAAGTTTCTAAAAGACCTGAAACTCTTTTCTTAGGACATTAACAAACTAGAAAATAAAATTGAAAATACTCAAAAAATACTAAAACCATAACACCCCAAAATTAAGAAATTTCCATTGAGTAAAAACTGATTTCTTTCCCCATGGACTCTTTATTGCCTGCATCAGTCATTCAGTCTCCTCAAGAAGAATCACAAGACCACGACTACCTGCATGCAAATAACAGCTTGTGTAGACCAATCCAGAGAAATCTGTTCACTTTCTTTGCCTGAAATTACAAATGGTGGGCATCAGCAAAATCTGAAACATATGACTCTGAATTAATCTGCATAAACTTAAAAACATGCCATCAGTAAGTCAATTAATGGGGCATGGACAGGTATTCAACTTTATAATGAGTGATTCAAGACAAGGCAATAGTAAATTTTATACACATATGTCTTCAAATGATGCAAACAATATAAAGATAGGGTGTTGCATCTCTAACTTGTACCAACCCAAGCCTGCCACTCCTACTTAGTTTCATGGAACTTGAATATCAGATAGTGTATGTTCTTCTTTCTTTTTGAGAATGAAAATGGTTTCATCCATAATTTGGAGGGCAAGAGCTAATGGCAATTCTAAAACCCTCTCCAAATCCATTTTTATTTTATCAGCACCTTTCCAAATCCTTCATAGCTAGATTATCAGCCATCGAACTTCATTCCAGGAACCTAATTTAATGCAGATGGAGTTACAAGTTGTTTCTAATTTCATTGAGGAAGTGAGTCAAATACCAACAGTTCTGGACCATCTCCTTGAAACATGGTTGTCAAAATATAACAATTTATGGAATCCCTTTTTAGGTAAAACACTATTTGTCATTCTTAAAAAATGACAATCATCCCTAATTGACATAGCCAACAATGGCCCATGGACTTTGTTGTTCAGTTTGGTATTTATTGTGCACTTAATTCATTTTTTATCACATAAATTATTGTGGGAGAGATTACAGTTACAATGGGTCTTCACCAAGGTTCAACATTTACTAGTCATAGATGAATTGACCAAACATATTCAAGAGGAGGTCCTATGGTGCCTGAGGTTTGCTAATGACATAATATTAATTGATGAAACTAGCAGAGAATTAAATGCAAAAATAGGTTTATGGACAACTGCAACAGAAACAAAAGGTTGACCTCTTCCGTTACCTTGGTTCAATAATTCATAAGAAAGTAGAGATTGAGGATGTCACCCATAGAATTGGAGTGGGTTAGGCAAAATGGAGAGGTGCATCAAGAGTCCTACATGTAGGAAAATACCACTTCTAATGAAAGGAGGATTCTATAAAACAGTTGTAAGACCAGCCATGTTGTATGAAGCACAGTGTTGGATGGTTAAGGAACATGTCCAAAAAATGAGTAGCAGAAATACGAATTCTTAGATGGATGAGTGATAAAACTAGAAAGGAGGACAGGGTTAAAAATGAAGTCATACCATGAAACCTAGGAGTAACTCCAACAGGTAATAAAATGAGAAAAGTAGACAGACATGGTTTGGTAATGTGCATATAAGACCACCTACAGCATCTGTTAGAAAAAGTGATCTATTACAAGTTGAAGCAGCTAGAAGAGCTAGAGGCAGACTGAAAAGAACTTCAGTGCAAATAATAAGAAATGATTGAAGTATCCATAATTTAATAATGGATATGGCATTGAACAGAATAGAATGGCGAAACAGGATTCATGTAGCCCCCCATATAATTAGTTGGGACAAGACTTAGATGATGGTGATGACAACAAGGTTCTTTCTTCTCACTATCAACATAAACGAATATGATTATTTTCAGAACAGAAATGGATCTGCTTTCTTATTCTTCAATCACAGAATCTAACATGAGAACTCCTTATATTGAGAAATTTGGAAACTCAAAGCATATTTTAGCCCAAAGAAAGACTTTCAACATTAAAAAAAAATAATCAAAAGAAATGGAGATACTTAAAAATATTAGCACTCTATTGATCTAAAAATATTGTTAAATATTCCTAGCTGAAATAGTGGATCCAAAGAAGAGAGCGAGGAGTGCAAATCCATCTTCTTGAAATAAACAGAACTAGAAAACCAATCAAAATCCATCACTTACAATGGCATACCGATTCTTGTCAAATAATATGCACTTCCAATTTAGTGTATGGACTCAATGCTCACCACATTGTCACCAGCTTGATCTCCACCAATGGGAGTAATAACTATTCAACAACCCCTGCTTTCTTGAGTAGATGCTTCCCTTCGACCACATAAAGAACCCCAATATATTGATGATAACAAATACCCAAGCTCTGATACACTTGAAAGGTGATGCTCACCTTCCACTGTTTGAAGTGGTTGGCTGGCTGGCCATGAAATCTTGGTCATTGGTGTACCGGTCTTAGCAATCTTGGAAGATATTTAAGACTTTCAGCAGAGCTAGTAGAAGGTTGCTTCAACTTCCAACAACTCTGAAGCTTAAGCTTTCTGCACCACATCTTTGCCAGTTTACCTAGCAGACCCTCCAGTCTTCCAAAAGCACTATTTATGAGCCTAGTACTGCAATAAAGTTAAAGCAAAAGACCCTAATCCATCCTAGTGGTCTTCCAACAAATTTATGAAAAATCAAAAAAGAATCAAATAAGATTCCCACTCAAAACAACTGAAACTGCATCAAACATGCTGATAACGAGCATAAAACTCCTCAAATCCACTTAATATTGATAAGCAAACTACTTTTTTTCTCCAATTAAAGAGGTGCATAAGGATCTGCAAATTCTAAACTAGAATAAAAGCATATTATATCAACTTAACTTGTAAAGGCTAAAAAAAGGATCTGAAGCATCAAAACAATACGTGTGTGTGTGCATTAGATGTTGTATGAATTGTTGCTAATTTTGATGCCCTCTAGATCCGTTGAGCTTCAAGTATGAGCTCTACCATTATTACAGTTCTTACCTGGGCAGAAACACCTGTGATTTTCATTCCTCCGGCAATGCATTAAAAAGAAACTGCAGAGGGGCAGAGAAATGCTCAGGTTCTAATGCACCTAAGATCTTTTTCTTGGAGGAAAAAGCATCACTGATGGATTTGAGAGTTTGGGTTGAAGATTCGGTTAGAACTTGCAACTCTTACCTGAAGAAAAATTCAGGATACTGCATTTTCTAGGGTTTTTGAAACTTCACCAAAATCTTTTAAGGATGTCCTAAGGTTTCTGTTAAACCACATGTAGAGTCCAGATCTGCTACCCATAAGACACTCTACCCATGCAGCTTCCAATATCATCTATATCTGCACATCTCGAGTATTATCTCATCAATGACAACATGCAACTAAGAAACATGTTTGTGTCTTTGAGATGTGCAGCTGTAGATCATGTTGGAAGTTGTGGGACAGTGTCTTGTGGATAGCAGATCCAATCTCCCATATGCCCTTATTGGGCATATTGTATTGTATCGTGAGGGTTCCAATACACCTTTTTAAAGGTGTTTTCAGGAAAACCCTTTATTTTATTTATTAAATAATATAATAATATCTATAAAAACGAAATTTTGAACAAAAAACTAAAAATAATAAAATGTGCATAGTTTAGATTACTTATACACCCCTGCCGATACGCAAAGGTGTATCAATATTTTAAACCATGATTATAGGGATTTCCCCAGGTTTTTAGAAACATATAGTCTAGGATATCTACAGTAATCAAAATTCTTATCCAATGACAAATTGACACAATGGTTTGATAAGAATACATCGACCTAAGGATGCATCATCTAAGAATCATCTTTATAATTAACATAACTACCATTTTGTTATCAGAGACAACCTCTGTGTGTTGAGCACATGATTCAAGCTAACTAGTGTCTTATGTGCCATCATACCTTCAAAGAAATTAACTGTCATTAGACAACAGAACTGCACCCAGGCAATTTCTTCATTCTCTCACTTTGCACTGATCTCCTCACTAGGAATACATCATCCCACCTCCCCACATCTGCATAAATGTTGGATAGCATGACTCTGCCAGCTCCATGATCCGGTTCTAGCTTAGCCAACATCTCTGCAGCCCTTTCTCCTATTTCAACATTTCCGTGGGTTCTGGCTGCTGCCAACAATGTACCCCATATAACAACATCTGCTTTCATGGGCATGCTTTCTACAAGCTGCTTGGCTTCCTCTAGACACCCGGCTCTTCCTAAGAGGTCAACCATACAGCCATAATGTTTGATGTCTGGATCTATGTCATAAACCTTCTTCATACACTCAAAACACCACTTTCCTGCATCCACCAGCCCTGCATGACAACAAGCACTCAAGACTCCAATAAATGTGATGGAATTTGGTTTTATTCCAGTCCTTAGCAAATCTGAAAATAATTTAAGGGACATTTCACCATGTCCATGCATGGCTGTCCCACATATAATAGCATTCCATGGTGAGATTGTAGAAACTTTATGTTGGATTTGACTGAAGATTTCTAAGGCTCTCTCATTGCTCCCACACTTTGCATACATATCAATTAGTGCTGCAATTAAGTTGTCGTTTAGAGGGATAAAACTATTATTTATATAATCATCGGCCCACCCTGCTTGCTCCAATGTTCCTGAAGTGGCAATGGCAGAGAGGACGCTCACCATTGTGATTTCATTTGGCTGGACGCCACTGATTAGCATCTCATGGAAAAGTTCTAGTGCCATATCAGACTGTTTGTTTTGTGCATAACCTGCAATCATGGAGCTCCATGAAAAAACATCTCTTTCAGGCATCTCATTAAATAATTTCCTTGCTGAATCCACCATGTTATTTCTAACAAACCCTGCAATAAGAGCATTCCAAGATGAGACATTGTCCTCGCTTCCCAATTTGAATTGCAAACAAGCAAGGTCAATCATGTGACAAGCTGCATAAAAATGGATGATTGTTGCCTGCATGAACACATAAGAGTCCAAGCCAGTCTTTATTATTGCACTATGGAACTGCCCGCCCCCATTAATAGCTGCTGCTCGCCCACACGCTGAGAGCATATTTACGATCATAACTTCGTTGGGGCCAAACCCAGCATGTAGCATTTCAATATATGCCACCAAAGCTTCATTTAACCAGTCTACCTTTAAGTATCCATTTACCATTGCATCCCAAGAAAACTGATCTCTTACGGGCATATTCTCAAACAAATTCCTCGCTAGATGAACAAGGCCAGCTTTTGAGTATCCAATTAACATTACATTCCATGAAACTATGTTTCTTTCAGGCATATCAACAAAGACAAGCTCCGCATCAGCAATGTTTGAACACATAGAATACATGTGAACCAAATTGGTTGAAACTAGGACATGCGCTTCAAGCCCCAGTTTAATTGCCATCGCATGAAGTGTATATCCATCACGAAGCCCAATCAAATGCGAGTAAGCCGAGATTACGCTCGCCAGCGTTTTTTCATTCGGGGTCACACCTTCGGTCCGCATTTGACTAAAAGCTATCAAAGCTTCAAGGAAGTGGTCATTCTGAGCAAAACCCATGATCATCGTTGTGAAAGAGACACAATCTCTACCGGGCATTGCCTCAAAAAGTCGACGTGCATCTTCGACGCGGCCAAGTTTGACATACCCGGCGATCATTATGTTCCAAGACGCAGTACTCAAGAGAGAACAATGATTAAACATCGATCGAGCACTCTCAACGCGCCCACATTTCGCATACACATTAATTAAACTGTTTTGGATAAATATGTTTGAGTCGAAACCGGATTTCAAAACAAAGGAATGGATTTGTTCACCTTGCGAGATGGCCAATAGGGATGAACAGGATTTTAGTGCCCACACCAATGCAAATCCGCAGGTTGTTCGGTCGCTAGCCGTCCAGGCGTCAAAGAACAAGCGAAGATGATCTTTAATGGATTCTGAAGATCGATGTTGTTTTTGTCTTAAATTTGTAGAAACCAATTTTGGACTCAAATGTCGAAGAACTACATTATGGATTTGTTTCATATTTCTTTGTCAATCAACCTGCAGATGTTTGTAACTCTTCGTAAAAACCAATCTACAGATTCAGGTTGTTTTTGTCTTAAATTTGAGGCAAAAAAAAAAGGGGGGGGGGTTGGACTCAAATGTCGAAGAACTACATTGTTTGTTTCATATTTCTTTGTCTACCAGGCTGCCGATAGTTGCTAACTCTTCGTAAAAACCAACCTGTAGTATCCAAGTCTGCACCAACTCCTTGCATGAAGGAAAGGACGAAATAGTTGCGATCGCAAAGATTTGCGACCTTTTTATTGTGAGCAAAGCTGGACTCTTGTACGCAGGAACTCGCATCCTCTGGGCCCAATGTAAAAACCTCTCCTGGATTTTCCGACAATCATATAAACCTCCCCTCGGTTTTGATATTAATGTAAACCTCTACTGTAATTTTGAGAAAAATATACAAATTCCTCCCTTTTCTAAATTGGAAAGGGTGACGTAATATATATTTATTCTTTTCAGAATGCCAGTTTTATCTATGAAACCATCTTTCATATGTATATGGATTTGTTAATAATATTTATTTCAATTCCTCAAATAAAAAACTTATGGATGCGTTAATGAGATTTATTTCATGAGCCACGTGGCTATACAATCAAATTAAGTCCGAAGTCTTTGCATTCAATTTCAACATCGTTTAGCACTTAACAAGATCTCACATGCTTCTTTTCTTTCCTGCCAAAAATCAAAACCTTTTGTTTAGTGATAATTTGATTCACGAATAAATTTCTGAAAAATGGTTGCATTGCATCTTGCAGTGAAGAGTTTTCATTGCTGCTTTTGAAAATTCAATGTCAGTATTGGTTGGATAAGCTAACAAGAACATTAAAGTTTTTTGGAGCTCCTTTCTTTGGCCTCTTACTATCAATTTGTTAAATCGAAGTTCAAGATTTTGTCTTTTTGAGGATTTTGGTTATGGTGCATTCCTAGTATTTATTAAATTAAATTAGTTGTTATCTATGAATTATTATTTATTTATTTATTTAGAAATAATTTACTAACAAAAAATAGGCCTTGAACCGTCCTAGTTAATACTCATTCTCTCTCAATACCTTTCTCTCCTTGAGCCTAATATTTAGGACTATCAATGATTCGACAAATTATTATTTTGTCAATACCCTTTGTGATAGTGTCATTTATTGATTATTTTATAATCTTCTCAAAAAAAAAATTATTATCTCTCATTGCGAATATTGTTATTCTTATTTAATGTCACGTGACACCATTTCTGTTTTTTTAGTTGCCAAGAGAAAATTCTACGGAAAGTAAAAAGTAACAAACAAATAATGGTTTCCCAACTCATTTTTACATTTTACTTTTACTTTATTATTACATTTTTTAATGTAACAAAATTGATTATCCACTCTCTCTATATATATATTTTTAATTTTTGTTGTGTATTATTTATAATTATTGATTAGAACAATTACCATGTAATCAATTATTCTTTGAAGTTGTAACAAATTATCTTTCATATTAATAATTTTTACTATCCCCCCTTCTCTCTTTCTACCTACCTATATTCTATCTATCTATCTATTATATATAGATATATAATGGTAATTGCATATGTGGGAATTTTAGATGATGATAATTATAATAACAATATATCCAAAATTTTTTATACACTTTATGTACTTTTTTATTTTTTGTTTTATATTTTTATTATTAAGTAGATGCAGATTGTAGAATATAAATCTGATTACATAAGCACCTCATCCAAATACATGATTCATATCGAATTGTGAAATTTCAAGTATCATTGATAAGCCTACCTACTTAGCTAAACTCTTATTTTGAAGTGTTTTTATCTTTTTGGTGTATTTATTTTCTTTTCTTCATCTATAAAAAAATGTAAGATTAAAATAAAAGAAATTAAATGAGGTGAAAAGTAGTAGCTTAATTTATAATTAAATATGGACTAAATTCAAAAATGAATATTTTAGTTATTGTTTTAAAAATCAGATTAGACTGAACAGTCAAACCATTTGGCCCAGGTATTATTTAGGTCACTAGTTCCGTTTTGGCCTTGAACCACTATTTTACAAAAAAACAAAAAAACGTTGAAATGGTCAAAGAACCACTAACTCTGACGGTTTAACCATTAAAATGTTTGACACAATAAATGACTATTGGGTTGCTTTCAAACTAATTCCAATTATTTATTTATTTTAAAATAGAAATTCAAAAATAAAAATTGAAAAAAGAAACTTTCATATCTCATAATCTTGTTCAATTATTCTCAATGGCCAAAATTAGTGAGGTTTTTTAATTTTTCCATTTTGATTTTGAGTTTTCTCATTTATGTGATTCTTTTTAAGTTGTAACAGAAAAAAATGTAACTCCAATAAAGAAATTGAAAAATCGATGCAAGAGATGAGAGATTAAACATCGATCTTATATTAGAAATCTGAGATACACCAATGAAACAAACAATATAGGATCCGAGAAAGGTTTAGAGAGGTGATAGAAATGTAAGAAGAGGGCAAACGGTGTTTTTAGCAGCAGTGATGATGAACATGGAGATAGCCGGTAGCATGGTTTCTTGCTCTTCCTTCTTCTTCTTCTTCTTCAGGCAAATGGTTCTACAACAATGAATGATGACCATGGTGACAACCACCTTTGGTGGCTCCTCCTCATCGTCTTCTTCTTCTTCTTCTTCTTCTTCTTCTTCTCAGCTTTAACTAGTTGCCCCTTCTCAAAGTCTTACACTCCGCTTTCATAATAATGTGTATATATGGTGGACGTTAATTTAATCTAATCTAATGGTCAAACTAAAAAGTTGCATTGTATTTTACATTTTATTGGCTTGATCTGCTCAAAGCAGACGGATGAACCATTGACCCAAAAACCAGAAGCCAAAGTGGTTTCATTTTTGGGTCGGTTTTTAAAACCTTGATTTTAGTCAAAAGAAATTTCCACAATCTTATTTATATTTTTAATGGTAGTATAAATATAGAATTATAGATGTCTTCAAATTTTCCTATACATTTTTTTTTTTGTGTTGAAATAATTATTATATGTCAAACTTGCTTTTTGTTTAATATGATAAATATATGATATTATACATGTGCCTAAATATTTTTCTACAAAATTTATGTATTTTTTATATTTTATTATATTTTATTATTTATTTATGACATTAAAGGTTAACACATTTAACCCAAAAGTTGAACTATTTATTATTAATTTTGATATCTCATTTTTTGGTTAATTCTAAATTATGTATTTCATTTTCATTATCAATAAAAATAATTATTGTTTATTACATTTTTTTATTTGATTAATAAAAATATCATAAATGTGTCTACTTTGTTCTACTTTTTTTTTGTAGTTTTCTATACTTATTTATATTTTAAAAATTTTATTACCTAACTATAACTTCATAGGTTGATCAATTTGATTCGGATAGCTGAATTGCTTATCCACCACTTGGATAAAGAATGGTTTTGTTTTTTAGTAAGTTTTAAAATATATGGGTTTTTATATTGTTAAAAATATTGACATAGATCTAATTAGTAGCATTTATTAGTGAAAATAACTTTAAAATATAGGATTTAATAAGAGAAAATGTGATTTAATACCTTAAGTATAAGACTTAATGAGAGGTGATTAAATGAGGTGGAAAGTAATAATTGAAGTTACATTTTCAACCCTTATAATTAGAGATTGACTAAATACACAAACATGGTCATTTTATTAGCCATTAAAGTTGGAAACTTGACATTAAAGCTATAATAAAATAACTTTTATACCCTTTCTCTAATAATGAAGTAGAGTATAATTTTAGTTAAAAAAAAAGTTTCACATTGCATCCACACTTTTATATACAGTATAGATATTCATATTAGATAAGCGAGTTCGCTTTTGCTAGTCATTCTAAAAATGAAAAAGTTAAATACTTAAAGTACCCCGATGGCTTAGCAAATGAACAATAACTTACCCTATTGTTTGAAAACATACTTAAATTACCCTTAAGTTTTATAGCAATGGACAATCGTTAAAGACTATTAGTCAAAATATTTGAAAGACTATTTTACCATTCATTTTTCTTCAAATTTTCAAAATGTAACATTTATTCAAATCTACTCCTATTCAAAGCCTGAACCTTAACAATCAATCTTGCATTTGAATTTGTTCAATTGGGAACTGGTCAACAATGGGAACCAATGGGAAATAAATGAGGGAATTTGTTCAATTGAGGCATATGCTAGAGGTGCTAACACCTTTGAGGCGTATGCCTCAGGTGCAAGAGGCATACACCTTATATGCTTTTTTTATGAGACTTGCTAGAGGTGTATGTCTCATGCACACATCATGAAAAAAGACAAAAAAAAAAGAAAAAGAAAGGAAAGGAAAGGAAAGGAAAGGGAAGGGGAAGAAAAAGAAAAAAATAAAAGGAAAGGGAAGGGGAGGGAATGAAAGATAAGGAGAAAGAAAGTGGGCCAAGAGTCTTATGCATCTTCATTCTTCGTAATATAAAAGACTTTTATTAAAATAAAAAAAAAAGAGATTTTTCTTCCTCTTCTTCCTCCTTTCTGCTCACCCCCTCCTCTTAAGGTTATGCCTCCTTATGTTCGAGAGGCTTAGGCCCTGTTTGAGAACACTTAAAAGAAGTACTTCTTTTAAGACATGGGACCACACATTAAGTGGTTTTTAAGTACTTATGGGTGTTTGGTAAAAAAGAGGGTAATAAGTACTTGTTTTTAAAGAAGTACTTGTTTTTAAAGAAGTACTTATTTAAAAAAGTGACTTGAAGTTGGCTTTTTTTTCAGTACTTTTTAAAGAAGTACTCCAAAAAAATGGGATGAACTAGTCCCTAATATTTTCTTGTAATACCTAAAATACCCACACTCTCATTCTCTTATTTTTCTCTCCCTCCCTCTCCTTGTCTCTATCTCTCCGCCAACACGACATTGGCGGCCAGTTTACCAGCCGATAGTCGATGTACCAACGACGTCGGCGGCCGGTGTACCAGTTGACAGCCAGTGCCGATGTACCAACGACATCGGTGGTCGGTGTACCAGCCGACAACTGGTGTACCGGCGACGTCAACGGCCGGTGTACCAAGCTTGATATAGGGCCATTGACGGCAGAAATAGTGCTGACCATGAAGTGGGGTCCATGTGGACTCTCACTTGTGCACGTGTGAGTCCACGTGGGCTCTCATTTGTCATGAAGTGGGGTCCACATGGACTCTCAATTAAAATGTATAACATATATATATATATATATATATATATGAGTGAAGTGAGGGCTAAAATTGTCATTTGTTTCAATATAAGCACTTATGGGGAAAGTAGCTTACCAAACATCCCCA